TTTTCAGAACTAATTTGCATATTTTAACTAATTTGCATATAAAGATGTGCGTAAAAAAATTGGCGACTCATTTTATTGGATTCAGCATACTTCAAAGTATATATTCCATCCAAAAAACTAAAATGATCACAAAAATCCCACGGGAGCCCATTTTTCGACATATGCCCCCGGACTAAAATGTTAAATTTTCTCTATGGTTATTCTTTGTTTCGGGCTCGATATTGGACAACAGGCCTATGCATACGTGCGAGCAGGTACGAACTGTACGACGTAGTTTCCTTACCCTTAGATGTTATAATAATATTCAATATGGCTTCCTCTTGTCGGTACTATTGTAACATAAAGACATTAAATATGGTTTTTGCGTAGCCTATAATTATTATATCAGACATTTTTAACATATTATGTTAAAAAATGTCTGATAATAATAACTAGAGATTTTTTATCTTAATTATTCCAACCATAGCGTATCATCCTATTACTAATGGACTCCACTTATGCGCTGAGATATGTTTATTGTTTTACTGTCTGGATTAGAACTGACAAAATGGAAAACATTAAATAGGCCTATAATGTGAAATACTGTGTAAGTATAGAATGATCATCATCTTGTCGCTTTTTATATGTCTCAATTGTCCTGAATCTCTGAAATTGTATTATTTTCATTATTATTGTTTAAAGCCTAGATTAAATCTCATTTTGTTATGAATATGTACATGGTAGGTGAATCCCATTGGGAATAGGAGTTTATTTTCCTTTATAGCCTGCCATCTCTATCTTAGAGAATAAATAAATTGCTAGATTGTTGATTTTTTAATGGAATCGTAACAGATGGAGAAAGTACATTATGATTTGATATAGGCATATGCAAAGAATGATACATAAGATGAAGGCCAATTGATGACAGATGTTTACTACTGTATTATCATAGGTTTACTTAACGGCAGCCTGTATCAAATAAGAAAGTTGTGATTCTAACCTGAAGAGCTACCAATCCCCAGCATTCGAATGCTCGTATCTTTAGTCTTCAATTGTTCAACAACATGTTTTACAAACTCCGACTCGCTCAACACTTTCATGGTGCCGGATTTGTCATAACCTGCTACAAACTGGGCATAAGCTTCGAGGTAGTACGCAGAGTCAAATATACTCATTATTTCAATTTGGAGAAAGTTGTCTTTTATATGGAAAAAAACTCTAGCTTGTCGTCAATTAGAATGTACAAACGTCTGTCTCTCCTCGAATAATTACCTCACCATGACACATACCATTTGACATCAATTCTTATGATATCATGCGCTTAAAACACAGCAAATATGGATCCTTTTTTTAAATGTATTTGTTGGTTTAATATCACGTGTCATTGAGCATTTACACTGTCAGATTATACAGTCACGCGCTGTAGATACCAGTATTATTATTGGACACAAATTCGTATATCATCCACTTACAACACGCCCAGTAGATCCTTGTAATTGTATTGGTCGGTTTATCACGTGATTGTAGTCAGGTGCTGTAGTGCATAAATATTTGTAGACTTGCCACAAGTCTCTTATTTTTTTTAATTATTTTTCTCATTCTGGACAGCGCCACCAACGAGAAAGTTAATTTAGAGATAGACGGAATAGAATAAGCGACTTGTAAAACACTGAAGTCAGGCACCAGGATGCCAAAAGAATGACGTAATCTTATATTCCGTATTTGGATAAATGGGCGGACCGAAATAAACAATTTCAACCAATCAAATGTTCATATTTTTGGAGCCACGAAACTGAGTCACTCGCCGCTCGCGTCGACTAGTTAGGCATGACTAAATTTAAATAGTCCTCCCTAATAAAACGGGCCTAAAATATTTAGAATAGACCCTAGTAAGACTAATTTTAGCAATGGCAAAAACAATTAAGCCTAGACGGCATACCATACAAATACAACAAAACTTTAACTTTCCAGGAGGATGGCTCAGGCCTCGTCTGGAGTCTGGAGTAGTAGGCCTAGCCTAGACTCAAGTAGAGGCTTGGCGTATTTTTAAGTTCTAACTTACAGAGGCCTACCTTTTTAACAATATTCTACTCTAAAGGCCTAAATCTGTGTAGCAGCTAGCAGTGAGCAAGTTTCTTAAGTATAGCCTACGGTTATCAGTCCATGTCGTTCTCAGCAGGCCAGAACTATATACTAACTGTTTTTATTCAAGTATAGGTAGCCAAAAGGGCCGAGCTGGTTAGTTTGTTCTAGTCGAGACATCCGCATCCTCAATTTTGAAAATTTACCAAGATTGATTAATATGCATGAAGTTAGCCAATCACGTGATTTACAAAATCAGTCATGCATACGATATCCCACATCAAATTTGATGTGGGAAATCGTACGCATGAATCGTTTACCCAGGCCCTAATTCGAAAAAAAAGAAATCGAATATGGGACGCCAATTAAATTAGGTATGGCGCGCACTAAGTGCAATAAAGAGTGAGTAACCTAAAATTAGGGCCTGGAACCCAGGCTAAAATATTTGCTGCGAAGCAGCCAATTCATATTCTTGACAGCAATTTGACCCCTGAAAGGTCATTGTTTATCAAAAATCAAGGGCCTAAGACGACTCAAAAGCGGAGTTTCCTTCTTTCGTTCTGCCGGGTAAAATCAATTACTTTAGGCGACGTTTGTAGACTAACCAACACGTACCAACGTCCGCATGTCGCGCTAGCCTTATCCTACTCTACAACCACTGTCTCTTATACACAAGACTAGCTAGGATGGTATATAGGCCTAGCCTTGAAGGGACGAAGGTCCCAATGAAAAACAACGTCGCTCCTTGATAGCTAACATTGTCTATTTAACATCACAATAATTCATTATTATACCTCATGGTTGTTTTTTGAATTGTACTCCACAAATCTCAGCCGATACCTCGAGTAACGTCTCGTATCTATTGTCGTGACGTCATGGCTCGCTGGCTCACACTCAGCATGACCACTCACAATTTTTGATATACCCAATGACTGGGTCGAAATTACCTAAGATTCAGCAAAAATTGCCCAAAATTACCCAAGCTTCATGAAAATGCATTAAAATTTGAAAAAAACGTGTTTTTCGTATGTATAGTTTCACTTTTTTAATATTCATGAGGCGATAATACGGATGGAAGAATACGCCCTCAGTCGGCCAGTGTTATCATTAGATCTCATCAGTGATCAAGTTTTATTATGTAATGCATTAATTAGGTAGGATCAATGGCAACGCAAATCACAAATAAACAATTTTGAATCCATGTTTATAGCAATTAACAGTCAATTAACAATGTTATGTGCACTTCGTTGAGTTTTGCTTACTTGAATAGACTGAAATATACTTTGTTACTTCTTAAGTCTTCCTCTATGACAAAAATATTTAATTTTCTTAGTAAAAATAAAATACCCAAGGATTTGAACGGAATACCCAAGAACCCAAGACCAAGTCAAAATACCCAAGATGTTGGGTAAATACCCAAGCAGTGATCACACTGCTCACACTTGCGATGTCTCGCACTTGTGATCAAAAAACACGCTGGCTCGCACTTTGGCAACACTCTTTGGCAGTCAACTCGCCCCTAGAAAACCCGCCCTTGGAAACTTGCCCAATAAAAAAATGTACACTTCCTAGACCCGAGTCTTCAAAATAAAAATTGTAACCTTTGGTAATCAACTACATTTTTCACATACATAGAAATTTTTGAAACTTTATTTAAAAAAAACCTAAACCATAATTCACCACTATAGACACTTTTTGACAAAAATGAAAAATTACGACTTTGTTATCCAATGAGAAGTGTTCATAGACAATGGGTCGTGTCTCATATTATTTGTTATATTTTTATTATTCATTATTTCACTTGGCTCGCATAAATAATTTTGTTCGAAGGACATTTATATGCAGTTGTACTTCGCAGCACTTCACTTGCAATTTGCAATTTCTAGTATAGTGTATATATTCGAAAAGGAAGCGGGTCAACTCGGCCACAGTCAACTCGGCCACAAAAAGGTCGGCTACAGTCAACTCGGCCACAAGTTAACTCGGCCACAAGTCAACTCGGCCACAAGTTATTTATAATTAAAATGAAATGTAAATATTCCCGTTTCTGCATCCTTTTTCTTCAATATGATTAAAATGAAGTACACAGGATATTTTAGTAAAATTCTGATCATCGTCTCATCGTCATGAGAACGTTGTATACATTTCTTCACACTCATGTACTCTTATTCAACAGAGAAAACCCGCCACTTACAGAATGGAATAAAATCTGACAATTGTAACATTACAATTTAAGCAATCTTAATAATTAAGAAAAACACATATGTTTAATTTTGTTAAAACACTGACATAAAACATGAGTACATACTGTAGACCTAATCATAAACGAGAGCATCAATGATGCAATAGCCCACTTGACAATAGCTGGAAATGTTTAAGTGCTGTCGGTGGGTGGAGGTTGTGTGTATGGAGCATAAAGAAAAACATTTAAAATTATAGTAGTTGTATGCATCATCATAGACCTTTTTGTCATATTCACTTAACAGTTAGGAAAGGTGTGATGTCGTGTACAGTGATATTAAAGGAAATATGGTTGTTGTAAGGTTTGTTGTGTACGTAACTTTTTGAAATATTTTGTACTGTAATTATGAAGATATTTATGTAGAGGTTTATGATATAAGTGGACAGTTTGGTGAGTGAATGGAATTTGTTGCATAGAAGTATTTCATTGTGAAGAAATATATTTTTCCAAAGGCGCATTATAATTACGTATATCATTTGTCTTTCTTTGTTAGTTAAACATGCAGCTTTGTTTGAGAAAGGCTAAATAACTTCTTGGCTGACGTCAGATATTGATGTATGTATATGTGTATATATATATTATATATATATGTATATATATGTATATATGTATATGTGTATATATATATATAGATATGTATGTACGTATATACATATATACATGTACAGTATGTGTATATATGTATATGTATATATATATGTGTATACACATACATTCACACATATACATACATACATATATATACATATATATATATACTGTATGTATATACAGTATATACATATATATATATAAACATATATATATATATACATACAAACATATATATACATACATATATATACACATATATATATATACATATATATATACAAATATATATATACATATACACATATATATATACATATATACATATATATATATACATATACATATATACACATGTATATATATATACATTTATATACATATATATATATACATATACATACATGCATACATACACACACACATACATACACACATACATAATATAAATACATACATACATATATACATACATATAAATAAATATATGTACATATATACATATATACATACATACATACATACATACACACATACATACGCACATACACACATAAATACACACATATATACATACATACATATAAATACATATACATATACAGTATATATATATACATATATATATATATACATACATATATATACACATATATACACACATATACATACATACTGTATATACACATATATACACACATATCCATACATATACACACATACATATATATACATATATATACTGTATATATAATTATATATATATATATTTATATACACCTGTAAGTAGTATGAATACTTGCCCAATATGTTTTTAAATATATACATTACTAGATTAAATAATATACTAGTACATTACTAGATTATATTATAGGCAATGTTTTAATAATTTAATTTGAAATAAATGGAGGAGGTACATGGAACACGCTGTGAAAATCTAAACAAAATATCTCATTACTGGGCTATCCATTGACTGGTTATACCATCGTTGGAATGGAATGTAATCCATTGAAAATGAAAATGGCACTTTAAGGCTACGGTCACACTAGAGTTTCAAGTCTGGCTTGACTCACAGCGGGTGAGATTTTCGTAATGTGACTGCATCTGCACCGACTCGCGCCTGGCGTGACCTCGATCTCAATCTACCTATCTCGATCCCAGCTCAGCACCCATATTGACCCTGGAATGACCCTGGCGTGACCGAGATTGACATTTCCTCGTCGGCTGTCGACCAATCACAGTCGATGACGCCGTTGCATTTAGAAGTTCTTGAATAAAAAAACCCGTTATGTGTGTTTAATCAAGACGCAATCATTACTTTTCATAAAAGTTAATTCAAATTTTAATTAAT